AATCTAGGAGGGTGTACATAATTGCATATAAGAAACAACAAACAGTAGACTAAATCATGGGTCATTGATTTTCTAGGAGCTTTTCTTATACTCTTTATGCAACTTCATTGTTTTTTTGTTTGAAAAGAGAATGATTATGGGGGGTGGGGGGGGTTAGCTTGGGTTCTAGGCTCTTCGGGCTCTTCTTTTACCTGTTGTTCTACTTCAAGCCATAGAAGTTGGTCTTTCTTCATTATCACAGGGAATAATGCCACATTGTTATTCTTCTTCCTTAAGTGGGGCTAGTGGATTGGCGGTGATGGATCGGGCTAGGCTCTTCGGGCTCTTCTTTTACCTGTTGTTCTACTTCAAGCGATAGAAGTTGGTCTTTCTTCATTATCACAGGGAATAATGCCACATTGTTATTCTTCTTCCTTAAGTGGGGCTAGTGGATTGGCGGTGATGGATCGGGCAACCTGGACTAATGGAATGAACACAACATGGTGAGGCTCTTAGTAACCCAAAGGTTTATAACTGTCGTGTGGTCATCGAACTTCTGGACTTGACTGAGGAGGTCCGTGTACTCTCACCCCCTGAGGTCCTCCTCCGATCGTTTGTTAAAGACCGCCTATCCAAGGAATATAAGAAACTTGACATTTATTGGCGACAATGGTATACTTACCGGCTTTGCAAGCTTGGAGATGGCAACACTTCTTTCCTTGATGCTGGCACGTTTGCCCATCTTCGGAAGAATCAAATTCAAGTCCTGCATGCGGATGAGGTTGCTCACTTTAATCATGGTGACAAGGCTAGACTGTTGTCGGATTTTTATTCGTTACTCCTGGGCACCGCCGCCCCTTCTTCGTGGAGCTTTGACCCTCGCATGTACTTGGCTCGCGTGCCTGGTCTGGATGACCTTGAGGGGTCTTTCACCATGGAGGATCTCAAAGTGGCAGTCTAGGCTATGTGGTCCAACAGCACCCCCGGCCTGGACGGGTTCGGCCCTGCCTTCTTTAAAAACTTTTAGGATACGGTTTCTTTGGACTTGTTGGACTTCTTGAATGATTTCTACTCCGGTGGGGTGGACCTGAATGGTATTAACCGTGCTTTTATTACCCTGCCGCCGAAGTGTGACGTGGTGCTCTCGG